CCCAGCAGGTCGAGGCTGCGGTGGCCTTGAGTGTGCCACTGCACTCCAGCCTGGGTGACAGAGTGAGATTCCGACTCAAAGAAAAAGAAAAAATAAAAAAAGAAATGCAGAATCTCAGGTCCCATCCGGGGCCTGTTGAATCAGAACTTGTATTTTGACAAGACTCCCGGGTGATTCGGGTGCCCATTGAGGTTTGAGAAGCACTGCTCAGCAGTGTCTCTTGGTCAGTCTGCAGATCACTGCTACTGCCCTCATCCGCAGGTCTGGCTGCCTCCTAAACAAAAAGAGAGACTACCCAGAGCCAGTCCACTCCCTCTCTGTAGTCAGTGGCCCGATCAGAAAATTTTGCTAACAGAAAGGCAGACACAGAGCTGGGCCCAGGTACGCCCATGCACACATGCACACACCCTTGCTCACACAGTTCACACAAACCCAGTCCCATTGTGGACAGACACCCAGATTCCCATATACTCTTGTATGTCCAGGATTCTACTGCATGGCCAGCACCATGGAGATTCCCAGGCACATGCAGTCTTGCTGTCCTCTGTGTCATTTGGAGGTACACAGTTGGATGCCCAGTAAACAGAATCAGGGGAAGGACAGGGTGAGGTTGTGGGCGCTCTTGTAGCAGCTGGCTGATGCTGAGAGAAGGGAAAGCAAATAGAGGGTATAGATAGGAGTCCCGGGAGCCAGGGGCAAGACCCCAACTTAGGGTGATGGAGTGGTGTGCTGCAGCTGGGTCCCACCAACTCATGGGAGCCAATTCTGTGTATTCTACATTGACTGACATCACGTTGCTAGTTTGAAATCAATCATGGTTGGTAGTGTTTACACCGCAGAAATTGGCAACCACTACAAATCAGGTTTCTCTCCCTCTCAGAGAGCTGATTGTAGAACATTAACCAGCATACCATTGGACCAAGATCACAAAGGAGGAGCCGGCAGCCCTATTTGTCTGTTGTTTCAATTCTTCAGCAGACACTTATTGAGTATGCCTTTGTGCGAGGCTCTGTGCTACATGATGAGAAACCATCATGTTGAACGAATGGATGAATTTTCTGGACCAAGGCTATTGTACCTGGAGAAGAAACAATCTAGAACCACAAGGAAAAAAAGACTCTGATTCATCCCTCTAAGCAGAATTCCATGTCCACACTCTGGGTCTCTAATCCCCCCAGCTTCCTCCATTCTCTCAGTGTGTGATACGCAAAGCACTCCTGCACTGGGGCTTCAGGATGACAAGGACCCATTACAGCACCCGGGATGGTGCATCATGTCACATCTCTGTGCTTCAGTGCCCTTTCCTGTAAAATGGGTGACACAGAGGGTTTGTGAGGACGGACAGGTCCACGTATGGACAGTGTTGACAGAAGCAGGGAGCTGAGGAGATGCAGGCAGGGCTCTTGTCCTGCACGATGTGGATTCTGAATTTTTTCTTGTTAGAAGTTTTTGGTCTTACTGAGAATTTTATTCTAGTCATCCTGGTTTTTTTATTTTTATTTTTTTGAGTTGGAGTCTCACTCGGTCACCCAGACTGGAGTGCAGT